GCCAATCCTGCTTGTGACTGAAATAAAGCTGCAATGTTTTGCTTTACTGCCATGCTGTGGAAAATACAGTACAGCATTCAAGCCAAGATTCTTTTTCCACAGCGTGGCAGTAAAGAGAAGCAGCACAACTGCAACCCACCTTGAGATGCAGAATGACTGGAGAAGGGGAACGACTAGACTACTTTTACTACTATTCAAACAACAAAGACACAATTTAAGAAGGAAACTGATCATGTCACTTACTGGAGAGAAGAGATTAGGCCTGCTAATTAAAGGCAAGGATCCCCATCTTCTTCCAAAGGATGCAGCTCTTCTTTCTTACCGTCTGTCTGTTTCTGGTTTTGGCTCTGACCAAAATGTTCATTCCACTCAAAATGAAGACTGCAGACCTATGCACAACACCATCTGGCACAAATCATTGAAAAACCAAGTACCTTTCTTTGTTTGGTGTTAATCTAAAACAGTTATTAAAACAGATTTGGCAAAAACCTTGCTCCTTCCATAACAGAACCTTAAGTACTTGGTACGTGCATCACAGGCAAGCCTGCCTTTTTGGTAGTTTCTGCAGACTCAGCCCTATGACAACTCATGGTGTTCAGCATGGCACCTACTACTCTGAGTCCTTCTATTCACCTGGTGGGATGCCAGTAGCCTTGCTCATACTGTTGTCAGGACTGGGACAGAGCTCCAGGTCTGCATATTTTAGTAAACTATTATTCTTAAACAGTCATGATTTATCATTGAGAATACTTAATTTGTACAATTTCCATTACTAAAGCTCTCCTATAGATTAAAGACATAATGATCCTAACAATTAAAATTAATTGCCAATGAGGACTGCCCTACTTCCCCGTTCCTGGGGCTTTGACTCCTGTTATCTGTCCATCTCTGTTACAAACATGAGCTGCAGGAGTGGCAGGTTCAAGTAGAAATGAAGCAAATAATTCCTGAGTGGAATGAAGCTGAAAGTGGCAAGCAGCTGAGATGACAGTCTGAACTCTTATGAAAAATAACAATGGTAACAGTAACAATTTTTGTAGTTAGTACTCCAAACAATCTCAACAAAAACTGTGGCTGGAAGATTCAGCATCATGCTGAATCACTGGCAGACTGTCAGCATACAGTCAAACACAGATAGTCTTGAACAATCACAAGAAACATTCCTCATAAAGAATAATACAAGGGGCTTTAAAAGAATAATAAAAAATAAAGAATAATAAAAGGTGGGTTTATTTATTCCTTTTGCATACAACGTTCTAGGCAATAAAATATTTTTGTATTAAACTAGCCTGTATTCTACTTTTCCCTTATTAATTATAAAAGATGATCAAGTTGAACAACTCAGAAGATTACAGTAACAAATATATTTTGACAAAAGAAAAAATAAAGTGAAAAATTCAATTAAAGAAAAATTAATAAAAACAACAAAGATTCTGTCCAATAACATCAGTGGGAGTAAAGGATAGGTAATGCCTAAAAAGATGGCTACGTATAAGAAAATAACAAACTGTTCAAAACACAGGCTTAAATTATAATCTCTATTTCCAGGCTTAAATAGATACATAGGGGTACAAAACACTGCACAGAACTGTAATATTTTTATAGAAGGAAACAACATGATTTGACAGTTTTCTTTTGGAGAAAAAGCATTACAGCACTTTGTGCCAACTATGCAGACTTTCAGAGAGTTTTTTTGTTTCATTACAGGACTGTAGAGTCTCCCATTTCTGCACATAAACAAACAATATAATACACAGAGAATTTCTGCTGAGCACAATAATTTTAGGAAGTATAACATATTTTTTCTTTCAGGTTCAGAGGTTACAATACCAATTTCAGACAGACTGGTAAACAGTGCATCATTGGTATTTCCATATTTTCCAATAAATGAGGCTTTGAAAGCCCAAGCAATGTAACAAATTCATGAACTGGCTTTACTATTCAGTCTTTGTAACGAAGTCAAACTAATAAATCTAGGCAGAAAGCAAAACAATCCCTTAAACTGCTGAGCTATTAACTGTTACATCTTATCACCTAAAAATGCTGAACCTCTCCCTTTCCTCATTGCTTCAGGGATGCTTCTTTCCAAGTGTTTTGGGTTTACTTTGCTGAGAGTTGGACAGAGGATAAAAAAACATCCACGGCTATTGGAAAGCTCCAATCTTAGTGAGAGTTTCACAAAAAAAAGGCTAGCTGCCATTTCCAGTGCAGCACACGGGTTTCAGCCATCAAATCTAAGACTACTAAAAACCAACCACAACAAAACACAATTACGAGACCGACTGCTGCTGTTGCCGACATTTTATCAGCTGACATTTTACAGTGACACCAACACTCTCCGTGCTCCCTGGCCCTGGGACGGAAGAGGGCTTGGCTTTGGAGAGAAATTTCTGGAAGGGCAGATTTGGGACAGCACCGCCTCTGCTGCACTCCCTGGAGCATTGCGTGCCACGAACAGCAGAGAAGCATGAGGAAGGCACCGTCGGTGGGTGATGCAGCAGGCGGTCAGGGGCCTGCAGCGCTGAGCCCACAACCCACTCCCCACTCTGTCTCCAAACATTTCTATACCCACAGAGGCGTGAAAGAGGGGCAGTGACAGGTACAAAACACCAAAACCTTGCACGAAACACTGTGGAGAAGCTTCTGCGCTAGTGTTGATTGGAAATTAACTCCTTACTGACTAATGTGGCATTCAAACAAAGCCAAAAAAAATGGGAGAAGAAGTGACGACTGATGATGGGCCATGAGCCATAAATCAGACTCGCAAACCAGTGTGGGGTGGAAACACTGGAATTGACCTACCCACAGAAAAGGTATGGAAAAAAATAATTTCTTCTTCAGTTATACACTGTAATGAAATTATGTTCACTCCATGGCTCACTCATCCCAAGGTATGCCTTTGTTCAGGATACCACATCGCTACCATCAAGGCAAAGTGAGAAAAAAACAAAACAT